CCTTTTGACGTAGGAAGGGGTTCTTATTATAATATTACCGCCCACAGCTGCTGACTGACACCGCCGTATTAGCAAAGACTCCTCCTTGAGTGAGCCCAAACCTGCATTATTGTTTGGCTCCATATAACTGCATAGACAGCAGTAGGTACTGCATATTACACTGCTGTCACTTCATACACAGATCTAATATAAAATATTTTATTGTTTGGGTCATATAACTGCATAGACAGCAGTAGGTACTGCATATTACACTGCTATCACTTCATACACAGATCTAATATAAAAATGTGATTTCTTTCCCAGCTGTTTACCTTCACAGACATAACTGACTGTTTTTGTAGTGTGTTTTTAACATAACCTTGTGTGTATTTTACAGTTTAACCCTCGGGTATTGTTCAGACTTTTTAGACCAGAAAATATTTTTTTGTACATTTTAAAAATCGCTACTTCATCGGAATGGTACGAAACTCGTTGACTTTAATGGCAGTCACTATGTGACCACAAAAAAATTGTTTATTTGATTCAAAAACGACAGCCATTGGAAATGAATGGGAAATATGCAAAAATATGAAAATACAGAGAATTTCTTGTGTGTACAATCTACAAATCATTCACAATGCAGAAAAAAAGTGCACAGCAATGAAGGGGTGACACTCTAAAATATGTGTGCAAAACAGACACTCGCACCCACCAGATGGAACTAATCTGCCTTAAATTAGGTTTTAAAGGCAATGTCTCTATTTTAACATGACATACTGTCATAATTGAAAAGTAATAGAAAAATATTAGAAAATAAATGTTTTTATTATTTTCAATGGGAAAATTTGATCATAATTATTGCATAAATATTAAATAGTACAATAAATTTCTCTCAAAATACAAAATAAAAAATATTATTGAACAAAAATACATTACATTGATTTCACTGAAAATAAAAAAATGAAAAAAGTTACATTTCAGGTGCCCGGTTACTTTTGACCGTGAACAACACAAGTGTGACTCCCAAATGAACAATACCAGAGGGTTAAGCACAATACGACATGAAAGAGAACTTAGTTTAGTACTCACATGCCGTGTGACAGCCACGTTCTGTGCACGTGCTTCGGATGTGTGCTCTCTATATCAGAAGTTTAAACTGATATGGCTTTAAAATGCATGATTTCAGCACGATAGACACGATAATCAAAACCAAACAGATGTTTTTTTAGCAAAGTATTTGATGTACGAGCTGTAAAGGCACAGCCCTATTCTGGAAAAGGGGGCGGGGAGCAGCATCTTATTTGCATTTAAAGATACATGCACGAAAACAGTGTGTTTCTGCTTCCTCTAAAAATAATGCATGATTTCAGCACGATAGACACGATAATCAAAACCAAACAGATGTTTTTTTAGCAAAGTATTTGATGTACGAGCTGTAAAGGCACAGCCCTATTCTGGAAAAGGGGGCGGGGAGCAGCATCTTATTTGCATTTAAAGATACATGCACGAAAACAGTGTGTTTCTGCTTCCTCTAAAAATAAGCACTTTCAAAATGATATAATAAATGATCTGTGGGGTATTTTGAGCTGAAACTTCACAGACACATTCTGGGGACATGTATTGCATATTAGGTATTAGGGCATAATAAGTAACCTTTAATACTGCCTCTCGAGTTTTAACCAAAGTATGTTGCAGACACTTCATGAAGACCCCAAAGAATCATACCAACTTGTGGAAAATTGGCATCCGATGTCCACTTTAACATTGGAGTGCTGTTAATTTCATTGTATAATCACTAGTGAGATTATGTGATATTTAAAATAACGAATTACTGTGTTTCACTCACCTGATCAATTAATCCATTTAACAATGAAAGATCTTCGTGTGGATATGAGGCAAAGATACCTGCTGTGGCATTTTCACCAATTACAATCCGTTTTCCTCCAGCAAAATTTGCGAAGGCACCTATGGATTTTATTTAGGTATTTTATGCACAAAACATTGAAATGAGTTGCTGCAAAGGACAGATTATTAATTATACTTCAACATCCAACAGCTTTTCAACTAGAGAAAGATTTTAGAATAAGAATTCATAGTAATTAGGTAGAAATTTAATGACTGTACAGTGTAATTGCTAAATAATAATACAATAAAATCCTATTGCAATCTAGAAAAACTAGGCTACTCTGTAACATTACTTTTTTGGAGTAACTTAATCAATCTAATGTTATATCTAATATCTATCTTAATCTAACAAAGATCAAAACAAACCAGACAAAAAATGTTTAGTTTGAGTTGTGCGTCTGTGTATATTGTGTGCATGCGTAATATCAAGCCTAAGGCCATGAAACCCTAAAACACATTTTTTTATACGTGTTAACAGATATGTACAGGTTGCACTAAAACAATGTTTATTATTAAGGGGAAAGTTATGTTTGTTTGTTTTCCTGAGCCATTTTATTCTTCCAGTTTAAAAAGCAAAGCTGAACCCACGTCATGAAATGTGAGGTACACGCGTTAACTTGGAGTTGTGATTGACTGGAGCAGGGATGCCCAAACTCGGTCCTGGAGGGCCGGTATCCTGCAGAGTTTAGTTCCAACTTGCCTCAACACACCTGCCGGGAAGTTTCTAGTATGCCTAGTAAGAGCTTGATTAGCTGGTTCAGGTGTGTTTAATTGGGGTTGGATCTAAACTCTGCAGGACATCGGCCCTCCAGGACCGAGTTTGGACACCCCTGGACTGGAGTAATCATCGGCGTCATCAGTTTCTGAGCTTTTCACCACATTATTCATGAGAATGAGCTAATTCAATCCAATAACTGCGGGCCAGTGCTAAAACCGCTATAATTTAAAAAAAAAATTAAGTCTGTCTTAGGTGTAAAAGGAGCCAATAACAGGAAGCAAAAAAATAGATATGCAGTGAAAACTTACCATAGTACAGACAGAAGACAGCACAAGACCCCGCAAAGGCACCTAGAAACTGGGCTACCACATAGACAGGAAATTTCTTTAATGGGAGTTTCCCCAAGACAACCATAGCCAGAGAAACAGCTGGGTTCACATGTCCACCTGCAATGAGATGCAACAGTTGAGAGACTGCAAACTTTTGATGACAGCAAAGTCATCAAAATCTGCATTGGTTTTAGTGGTCCATTTTTGAATGATGATTTTGTATTGATTGAGGTTTGCATATAAGCATGCTGAGGTTTTTTTGTAGTACAGGAATTTGGAATCAAAAGAGCACACTGCATCATTCATCTCACACTCACAAGTTTTTATGTGCTTTCTCTAATTGTTATATACAGTATGTATACTTTCTCTTTCCCTCTCTTAATCCAGAGTGTTCTTCATAAACACTTGCTACAAAAACTAGTTGAGGTAGTCAATGGGAATTGGGTCTGACATAATCTGGTCCTCAGACACAAATGGCTTAGGAGTACCTCAGCTTAGACAATTCTGCAGGCCTGATTGCTCTTATGTCACTGAACCCACTGTACATGCCGCTTCAGAATGGAAAACACTGGCCTTTCCTGACCCACATAACTGTTTTCTCAAACATTTGGTAGCTGGTTAAATGTTGATCAAATAAAAAATTTGCTAATTTTTCTTGATTTCAGTTTTGACCCATGATAGTCATTAAGCAGGAAGCCAGTCTTGTTGTTTGGTTCTTTTGAAGAATCTAAAAAGCGTCATAACAATATTGCATATTAAAACGCAACTGATTGGTTAAGGTAAAATATTTTTTGCCAATTTTGTTAAAAACCAGAATTAATCTTGTTTATTCACAAGATATTATTATTATACGGTAGCCTTTGACATTAATAGTATGGGGGGGGGGGATAAATGGCTACCGTCAACTGTTTGGTTACCAACATTATTCAAAATATCTTCTTTTGTGTTCAGCAGAATAAAGAAACTTATACAAGTTTTGAACAACATGAGGGTAAGTAAATGAAGAAAGAATTTTAATTTTGAGTAAACTAGCCCTTTAATAATGACAGGCCAGTGCCTACACCTGACTTCCACCTGGGACATATGCTCTAGAAAAGCTCATTAGTTCAATACTGTAGTCATCATCACAGCATGTAAGATTATCACAGTCATGTGGGCTGCTAGGCTAACCAACTTATTCATGCACAAATGCACACTTTTGACGACTTTTACTGCAGAACTCTGGCTATATTTAACGTCACATACATATATTTATATATGGCTCTGTCTCCCCTTGTGACACACTGAGAGGAAGGATGAGGAACAGATCTGACTCAAGACTCGTCACCTCTGATAGTTCAGTTGCATGCATCGCCAGAACAACACATGCACAATTGTGTACTTGAGGTCTAGACACCACTACTGAATGATAAACCACAGGGCCTCATGCCCCTCGACACATTTCCCCTGAACAACCCGAACTGCACCACCACTATCATTGTCCTTTTATTCATATTAGAATTTTTATTTTAAAATCATTATTTCTTCTGTTTAACAACTTCTTGATGTCATCTTTTTTTATGTGCAATTGTAATAAAAACAATCATTATCATTAAAAAAAATGCAAACATGAGTAAAAGTGCAATGAATAATTATTATTAAATAAAATATTAAAATGCTAATACAAATAAAAGCGCAATTTATTTGTATTATTATTATCATTATTCAATATTTATTTATTATTTTATATAATTACCGTTTTTTTTAGGAAGACCACACACTACCCCAGTGCTGGTAAATTATGCACTGAAGGCTTCACCCTCTGCTGATTTGTGACAGCACAGTGTGAACTGAAGTGTGTCCTCACAACTACGATGCTGGTACTGTGACCCTCATGAGAACTTAAGTTGGCTGGGCCAGGGGAAGGCATCCTGTAGATATTTTAGAGGTTCTCTCTGTAGGCACTCAGGGTAAGTTTGCACAACAATAAGTGTACTGAAAACAGAAAAGTTTTCCCTAATGCCGAGTTCACACTGCACGATTTTCAAAGTCGTCAGGTCACCGTGGTTTTCACACTGCACGACCCACATGCGTCAGACCGGAGTAAAATATATATATAGCCCACAAACTGTCTGTGAGCTGATTTCCAGCTACAAGGAGAAAAAGAAAAACAGATTAAGCAGGAGGGAGATGCAGGGAACAGGGATTGGGTGTTCTGCAAAGAGAGTTGGAGGTAAATAATTTTGCAGTAACTGTTATGCTGTTGTGGCTGGTCAAGCAAATGTTTGTGCTTGTTTCTGTATGATATAATTGTTCATATATCTATTAAAATACTGATATTCTGGTCTATAACTCCTCCCCGAACTTCCCTCTGCCCTGTATCTTGGTCTCTCATTGGCTGTAGGTCGTCGCCGATGTACACAGCGTGATTGTGAATCGCCGAGAGCTCCAGATATTTAGCATGCCAAATATTTTGTGGGCATCTGCGACGTGTCGGCGACTCCCTCAGATCGCGTCTTTGATAATTCACACTGCGTGATCGTCACTCGCGTGAACAAGCACCGATTTCGGGCATTTGTCGGCGATTTCGCGAAACCTGTCGGCGAGTGAAAAATCGGGCTAAAATCGTGCAGTGTGAGCTCGGCATTAGAGGTTTTTTGAAAAGTTTCACATACAGATGACCACGATGTCAAAATGATCCCCATTCATACTGATCAGCAAAAATGACTAAAAACACTGAATTATGCATGCCAGGCCAGCTGGTGATGTCACATTGTAAAGAAACACTATTTGCCTGCACACATACGCATACCTATAGACTGATACGTAATATGTACGTGCATGTACATCACCTTTTTTGCAAATTTGCATTTTTGTGGTTTGCATAAAGACGACAACGGTATCGTCTTCAAAAACTTGCATTTTCAGGCTCACAAAATGCAGTTTTTGTGTAAATGAATGGCCAAAATGCATAAAAAGTTCTGTTTTTAGTTGAAAACAGTTTGTAAACAGCCCATCAGATTCAGGAGATATAGAGAGGTGGTATTAACATTAAGTGGCATTACATCTTATGCACAGAAGCCACTGGCACATGCCGCTACGTTTAGCAGCACGTCCGGTGGTACATCCAGTTATCAGTGGCATGTGCCAGTGGATTGTGTAACGTTATGTTGTGACTCCTCCGACCGGTAGTGACTGGCACATGTCTGTTGGAGCATAATGTAGATGGTGACATATGCACCTAACTGCAGAACAACGTTTAATTCATAGTATGTTGCTTTTTAAACATAGGCTAATATGTGTTAATTTGTACAACTATTAGGATTCTCCATACTATATCTGTTTTATATGTCTTGTGTCCACATATTTTATATGTCTTGTGTGTTATTGCAGGGGAAATTCAATGGTAAGCTTTTAAAGAAATTCCAGGAATCATCTGCATTATTATAATAAAAGTTTCACCTCACCATAATCCTTGAGGAATTGTCTTAATGAAGGCCAGACATACATGTCCAATCTGGTTTATCAAACCCAACACACGCCTCCACTTGACACCAAGCCTTATGCAAGATTTAAGAGCATGTAATTGACCGATTATTTCTTCCTCCCCCTGTCCATCACTATAGAATATTTTTGAATGTCAGAGAAACAGAGCACATAAAATACAATAAGCACAAGGCTTCCCCCTCTATTATGTCATTCATTAATCTTAACATTTGTAAGGAAGCATAAGTCTGTTAAGCACTGAAACAAATCCACCCTTCACTCTCTCTCTTTATGGTCAAAGGTCAAGATCATGGAATACTCTGTATGGGGTATATTTGATCCAGCTGTCTAAGGCTTATTACTGCATGAAAGGCTTTTTCTACCTCGCTAGCCATTTTACTCCTGTGACCAAATTTAGGTCTTAAGAGAATAAATGCACATAAACCGCAATAGAGGAATAAACTGGTCTAGTTTATGTAGTTTTGATTAGATCATGGATATTGACATGTTGCATATGGCGAGTAGGTGGTTTGTGTGTAGACTGAACATTGCATGTTTTGTTGAGCATGATCAAAGATCACAAACAACTGTGAAAACATCCCTGATGGATAGCTAAATATGACCTTTGAAATGAGAAGATGCTTTGAACTCAGCTGTACCAGACTAATGCCTTTTCTTTATTAAATGCATTTTGGAATCATTTAAAAGTTCACTTCAAATTTGTGTTTTATTTTTATAGCAGACTATAGGTAACGGACAGTCATGTAAATTTTAAGGTTATGTAGCATATGTGCAAGTTACATATACACAAGTGTTTTCTAGGCTTCTCTATTTGCCAGTGTGACCAGTTACCTGACACGCCTCCTGCCATGTACACAGCCAGCATTACCCCTAAAGTAAAGCCAAAATGAATGGTGAGATTTTCTCCTTGTTTTTCTCTGCTGAGAATGGTCTGGGCCACTGAACCACAGCCGAAGAGCTGCAAACAGGAAATGGGCAGATTTAGGAAGACAATTAGTAGAAATTAGTAGAAAGCTACCGCCATACAGATAAGAAAAGCACTCTTGTTGCGGAGCACTTATTCAAAACTAATTAGTAGGACAGTTTGTTCAAAAGCTCAGCCCATTATGGTCAGGGCGGCACCCCAAAGCAACAAAATCTGTCATGTTAAATCAGAATCTTATCATGCAATTACACCAGTAGAATACGCTGTAGAAAAAGTCTAAGTGTAGTTCATGTTTTAATATCTAAATAAAATCAGTGAAGTCAAAGATTTACTCAAATCTTCAGGTACTCCTTTTTTGTAGTAAAATGTACTGTGAGATAAGTTGTCAAACCTGACATTAAAGCAATTGTGAAACACAAAACAATTCACTAAACAGCTAAACATACAATACAAAGTACAATACAAACATTAAAATTAGTCAGTTAAAAAAATAATGTACAACATTTATCAATCATGTGACATCATCTGATGTTCATGAAAAATATATTTTTCCTGAGAACAGGACAATTGCTTTATTTTATAGTTAACCCTAGCCTAAATGTATCTAAGTATGTTTTTATTTTGTTCGCTTGTTTACACAAGAGCTATAGCAAAAATATAATTATTGGAACAGTATTTTGGAGGACATAATTAGCAAAAAAAAAATTACATATATAATTTATTTGAATTTTAGAAGGTTTTGAAACAGGTACTTAGAACTAACATTTAAAAAAAACCTGCCAGAGAAATTGAGCGTTTGCCTAATTGGACTAAAACATTGTAGTTATTGAGATAAAGCCCTTCACTGCATATCATAGTCATAGCCAGGCGCGACGCACGTGTTTTTTGCTAGTTTCAACCCGATGCAGTTGTCATTTTGACATCCTGCGCCACGTTGTTTAAATAGCAAATGCATTTGTACGTCCATTTTGAGGCAACTGATATAGACTGCGCCATTGGGCCCTATTTTAACAATCTAAGCCAGGGATGGGCAACTGATGGCCCGAGGGCCTTGTATGGCCCGCAGTGTCTTTTAGTACCCCAATCATACTGGATCATATTAGACTCAGATGATCAAATTTAAAACATTTGAAAAGCAAGTCACGTAAAGATTGCTTTCAGTTTAAGATGTTCTCCAACCAGGTGAGGCCTAGTTTCCAGCCGCTCCCTGTATTAATTTCAGCGTAGGACGTGCACTCTAATGTAAACATTCACTAACATTAGCAAATAATGAATGAAAAACTGACAATGAAAACAGTATTTTCCAGTCAAGATGGTAAACACATTATCTTTTTACCAAGTTCAAGGGGATACCCTTATGTTTGGATTGCTTGGAAATCTGTATTTTATTTAAATCGCCATCACACCTGCTCACAAACAAACGGGGACGCCAGAGTTGCACTTGCCTCAAATTTCAAAGGTAAAATTCACAGTCAACAAAAGCTTTTTGGCAAATGCATGACACAAATGTTTGCACGGTGTTCTTATTAGAGTTTCCGCGGGTCCTTAAAACATCTTCAGTTAAACTGTTTACATTTAAGGCCATGGAAACTCTTAAATGCTACAAAAATGATAAGAGGTCTTTGGGCACGGAAAGACAATAATTGCTATATGGATTAATGTGTTGATTAAACTTCAAAAGGCTACATTTCACTGAATAAACTTGAGTGCTGCACGTCAGCTTTGTGTACTGCAGTTACAGGGGAAACCACTATATTTCTGCAGTTCTGAAAGTGACACCTGCTGGCAGAGAACGAATTAGCTTTTTCAATAAGCCCGTCTGCTATTTTGCTACATAGCCTATTTTTAAATGTGAACCAGTGGATCGACAAAAAGCGAATGCATTATAAAAATCTAAACAACTAAGACACTAAGATATATTTGTTATTTAATATAATAATTAATTGATAATAATAACTGTTTAAATTAATATAATAATTGATACTTTTGACATTCCTTTTCTTAAAAAATTATTTAAAGGCTGAAATGTGAAGTGTAAATCTTAAAAAGTTATTTAAAGGTCTTAAATTTGCAGATACCAGGTTATTTTATGGTACCATTTGGAATAACTATTTTTTTTAAATAAGCCCTTTTTAACTGTCCTCTTAGGTTGTTTTGAGAATGTTCTGTAAAGGCCACTAATAAAAAAGGACCTCTGTACATTTGTTTGTTGCAAATTTACAGACAATGCAATTGAGATGTTTACATTGGCTTGTTTATAATTTGTTATAATATAGTATATTTGTTAATATTTCTGTCCACTGACAACAAAGTTTTCCTTCTGAATTAGCATAACTGCACAAGTTTTATAGTTAATAACATTTTTAAAACAAATTACATTAGTTACACTTTAATTTCCTTCAATAAAAAGGAACTTGAGTAAAACGGTGTAAAAGGTGTTTGGACGTGGATTAGTAATCTGGCCCCTTGGTATAAAGGAGAAAAAATTCTGGCCCTCGTCACTATCAAAATTGTCCATCCCTGATCTAAACGCATGGTCTAAAGCGCACGGCGCAGGTGCACTCAGGACGTGTCCGAATCCACTTTTGCTAGTTTAACGGTCGGCACGCCCGGGCACATGGTCTAAACGGGTTGTCCCTATATTCTCTTAATGAGTAATGGGTGTTTTTTGGGCGTAACGTGCCATAAACCAATCAGAAATCTCATCTCCCATTCCCTTTAAAAGCCAGTTGCGCTCGCGCCATAGCGATTCGCTATTTACACAAAACGGACGCTTCTCTAGTGAGGGAACGGATCTGCTCGTGCGCGTAATTCTGATAGGCTACATGCAAAGACTATCCATTATGACATGTAGATATTTTTATATTTATGTACACAATAATAATCTTTTACATTTTAATCCTTTAGTTTTTTTTTTTTTTCATTTTTAAAAATGTTTGTGTGCTGTTGTGCGCCCTGTGTGCGTAATAAGCAAAGCGTATGTGCACCCGCCTATAGGCGCATATTACTAACGCGCTCTTTAAATAACAAAGTAAAAATATTGTGCCAGACTTTAGACCAGGTTTGAGTTGGTAGTCTAGAGTCTTTTTTTTGTTATTTAAAATATACGTTAGTAATATGCCACCTATAGTGACGAGGGCCAGAATTTTTTCTCCTTTATACCAAGGGGCCAGATTACTAATCCACGTCCAAACACCTTTTACACCGTCTTACTCAATTTCCTTTTTATTGAAGGAAATTAATGTGTAACTAATGTAATTTGTTTAAAAAATTTTTATTAACTATAACACTTGTGCAGTTATGCTAATTCAGAAGGAAAAGCACACCTATAGGCGGGTGCACAACGCGCGTACGCTTTGCTTATTACGCACACAGGGAGCACAACAGCACACAAACATTTGTAAAAATGAAAAAAAAAAAACTAAAGGATTAAAATGTAAAAGATTATTATTGTGTACATAAATATAAAAATATCTACATGTCATAATGGATAGTCTTTGCATGTAGCCTATCAGAATTACGCGCACGAGCAGATCCGTTCCCTCACTAGAGAAGCGTCCGTTTTGTGTAAATAGCGAATCGCTATGGCGCGAGCGCAACTGGCTTTTAAAGGGAATGGGAGATGAGATTTCTGATTGGTTTATGGCACGTTACGCCCAAAAAACACCCATTACTCATTAAGAAAATAGGGACAACCCTTTTAGTCCATGCGCCGGGCGCGCCGACCATTTTTCCCGTCCTTAAACTAGCAAAAGTGGATTCGGACACGCCCTAAGCGCAATTGCGCCGTGCGCTTTAGACCATGCGTTTAGATCGTTAAAATAGGGCCCCATTAGTCAATTGGCTGAAAACTCATGCACAATGCACAAGCAAAACAACAATTAAACACAAGGTCTTGGTTTATTTATTCTCTAAATACAACATATTTTATATGTTTAGTTGACTTGTTTGCTGATCAATGGGATTTCTTATTTTTGAGTTTTATTTCCAGTTCTCATTCGGGGAGGCACATTGCAGCACAACTTAAACGTGTAATACGTATATTTGTCCACCGGGTAGAGCTATTCGACAAAGTAAAAACCAAAGATGGCCAGAGTTTGACGGTGGCGTCCCGTGACTGCAGGTACAGGCTGTGAAAATAAGAAACGATAGGATGGTATAGCGGTATGTTTTGTTTGCATTAATCACTGTCACTTGTTCTGGGGTGTCGTCTTTGATGTGAGGCAGACACTGTCAGTGCTGTGAAATGAGGGGGATGTGCTGATGGAGAAAAAGCACCCCAGTGGGTTCTAACAAATTATAACACCCCGTCCCCTTCATCATCTTAACAGCCCCTCAGCCCTTAGCATGTCACGCATGATAACTGCTATCACGCAGCCTGCCCATTAAAAAAATGTTTAAGTTATAGTAGGCCTATATGTAGCCAATTTAAGTGTACATGACATAAAACTTTTTGGACTGCAAGCCTTTGCAGGTCATCATACAGAACACCTAAATGTGTGCAAGTCCATTCAGACAGTTCACTAAAGTCAGTTTTCTATGTTGGCCTACGTATTTTCCCAAATTAATTGTTTAATATTCATTCATTCATTGAGACATATGTTGATTTATTTAATAGCAGGATACAGTGTGAACAACAACATATTTTATGACAGGACTGAGAGGTTAACATTATTATGGTTGCATAAACAATTAGGCTTAAGATTTGTCATAAATTCGTGATGCTTCCAACTACATGCAATTTATGGTAAACGCTTCCAACGCTCCTCCGTGGAAGTGTGAAGGCGATTATTTGTTTTATTTATCTGCGACATAATCGTAGATGTTTTTGCCGCGATCTAGTGTTTTGAAGCTTCCTTATCCACCAGTTACACAGTGGAAGTGTGAATGTCTGTGTTGGCTAATTCTTTAAACCACAACCTCTTTGAGATTGTCAAAAGCCCTTTTAGATGGTCTATAATGTTTATTGGATATTCTGAGGTAAACGCTAACTGAGTCCCGGCGCTGCAGGAGGCACGACGAGGAAATAACCTGTGATCGCTTGATGTAGATAGACGAATAACATACTGACGGGATATAGATGTTACAGGAGAATCTGT